TTGTTTATCTTCAAGCCTTTAAGACCCCAGACACTTATCTTTTGATAGCCGGGCACCATCAGCTTCTTCACCACATTTGCTTATGCACACCTTTGTGTTCAGTGATTGTATCAGGAAGATGGGCACCTACTGATATGATTTTTTGTTATTTGATGTCTGATAACTGGTCCCTTTTACACCTCGTGGTCAGACAGGCCGGTGTGCTTCTTCCATGTGGGCTTTGATGCTTCTCAGCTAGATGGCTGCTTGTTTGTCTTCAAGCCTTTAAGACCCCAGACGCTGTATCTTTTGATAGCCAGGCATCATCAGTTTTCTTCACCACATTTGCTTACGTTCACCTTTTTCTTCAGCAATCATGTCAGGCAGGTATGCATCCTGGAATGCCAATTTAATAGAACGTGTTCTTGCATCGAGTAAGTGCTTGAGTGGAGGCCCAATGTCCACCTGCTGCCTTAATACTAAACCTATAAATATATGCACATAGATGTTTCCCCACACTCATATATATTTACATATATACATTCCTGTCTTTTTTTTTTTTTTACATTCCTGTCTTAAAACCTCTATAAATACCCTTTGTCACCTTGTTCTTTACTCTATTAACTTTTACTTTCCTCTTGTCCCACTATCATACTCAGTCTTCATTTGGGTTTCAGTAATTTCTCTCGGTTACATTGCCCTTGCTGAATCCCTATCAGGGCTCTCACACCCTCCTTGCCACTGATTTTGGATCACTTGTTGCTCCCCTGTCCCTGGGTTGGTCAGCACCATCTCTTTACCCCCGCCTTCCCTTCTCCCGGGTCCCCCCTAAACCGTTGGTCCCGTTGTTTTCTCCTCCAGACTGTTCATCCAGTCTATCTTATGTAGATAGATCTGTAGAGATAATAATATGCATCAAAACCCAAGCCATAGCAAGATAGGCGATCAGTGAGAACACAGCGATGGCAACAAAAAAGGAAACCAATTACCCTTAGAAGAATAAATTAATTAAAAGAAGAAAAGTTTTAAACAGAAAGAAAAACCTGTAAATAGATCAAGGTCTGATTTTTTATCTCTAGGCGTGTCCTTCAGTCAGGACTGATGGGGTACCATGCTCTGACCCCAGAGTCTGTTCTTTGTATTCCCTCGGGGGCTCTCTGCCCTGCTCCCATGGTTGCTCTGCCACATACTTTTAGTGGTTTGCCTCGGTGTCTCAGGGTCAATATGGGCCATTCCCAACACTGAGTCTCCAGTGTTGTCCCTCTTAGGGTCCGGGGCCATCAGGGGATGGTGTGTCTCATGGTGGGATCAGCCATATTGTCCACTGGCTATTCAGGGCGGGGATGTCGTCCTCCAGGCCTGGTGGGTCAGGATGTGCTCCACTCTCTCGTCCTCCCCCTAAGTGCTCCCCCTAAGTGCTCTGATCAGACATGCCCCTCTCCCTAGCTGCAGCTTCAGTGCTGTCCTCTCAAGTACATTCTTCTGGGGGGAGGGGCGGCAACGAGATTTTTTAAAAGGTATGAAGTGACTGGCTTTTAGAGATAAAGTAACTGGTGGGCTAGGGGTGGCGACATGTCACAACTGGTATTCAAACGCAATCTGTCGGAGCCCATGTCTCTAAATGCCTGTCTGAGAGTCCTATGAGGTCATGTAATATAAGGGCCCTACAAAGGGGCAAATCAGGATCAAGGGCACAGAGGTTGCTGTGACACCTTCAGCTTAGGAATCTGTTTCTCTGGGAAAGAAGCGGTGGGAATGGAGGAGCAATGATCATCCAGGTCCTTTCCAATGCTACAAACTTCTGATCTTAAGTACTTGCCCTCCAAAAGGCTAATAATATTCAAACAGAGAAAGCAAGTTCACACGTTAACGATAGTCCATTTTATAATTTAGCTATTGAGTTGAACATAGGGCTTTTACGTCCACAGCTCCTGTCACATGATAATGCACTAAAATCGACACCCCTCGTGGTCTTCCACGCTTGTTGTTAGTGGCAGGGTTGTACTTAGTTTAGGCAGAGAAATATGTTTTAGCATCCTATTATCCATCATGAGCACACAGAATCCTGGTCTAAAATGGATTCATTATTCACAACCAAGACTGTAGTGATTAAGTGATTGGTTCTTTCCTGCTGTACTCCTGACACCTACATCCACGGACGATCTCTCACTAGCTCCGGACTTTAGGCTGTGTCTAAGGACACCTGCCCCAGGTAGCTGTGTCCCCGGGTCTGGCTCACCTGTTCCGATTCCACACTGGCTTCCTTCAGTTTATTCTCGGTTGCCTCTTTACATTTCCTCAGATGTCTGACAGTTTCTTCTAATTCCTGAAAATGTGATGCCAAGATTTTTACAAACTTCCAACGTATGTTATATGGAACAGAAAGGATTAGCATTGCCCTAAATGGGCAACCAAATTAAATTATGAAAGCAAAATGGGACGCTCACTTAGGGGCTACCAGGAGAAGAGAGAAAAATTGCTGATTCCCACCCAGCCTACAATGTGTGCGTGTCCACCTATCATGGAATGTTCTGATTTGTGGCTTCTGCTGAGAAGAAGTAAGTAGCCTTTCTTTCTACAGCAGACAGCATCTATAGGAGCTAGAGGATGTCATCACCAGCCCTTTCGGGGACAGGCGGGGTGGAAATCGCGGCCAACAGGCCTGTCACACACGGGTGCATCTTGCTGTACGATCCAACCAAGGAGTATAAAATTCTTAAAAGACGGAAAATCCGGTCATAAGTCTTATTTAGTCCTCACTACTTTGCATATGTGACAGATAATGGGCCCTTCAAAATAAAGAGCATCTACCATATATTCAAAGCGATAGGCTTCTTCCTGAAACCCTGCTGCGTTCAAGTCGGTTCTGTCATCGTGACCTTACAGGGTCAGAGCAGAGCTGCGCCAGGATTTCCGTGGCGGGGACCCCCCCCCCGCAGCACACTGCCACATCTCTAAAGCGCGGGGGCTGGTGGTTTCGAACTGCCCGTCTCTCCGTTGGGAGCCAAGTGCTTCACTGTGCTCCTGCTTGGCACCACAATGGTGTGGCTTTAGCTAAGATATAATTGTCAGCCTCTCTCTCTTACTACTATGGAGTCTAGACCAGCAGGATACTCTAAAGGGCCCTGTCATTGGATGACAATCTTCTCGAAGGATCTTAAGCAACCTTTACCCGGCACCGATTCTCCAGCTCCTGCCTAATCTTCCGCTCCGCCTCCAGCCGGATCTCTTGCTGCTTACTCCGTGCAGAGGCATCGTACTGGCTGCGGGCCAGCAGCTGCATCTCGTTCTGCAGGTTGGTCATCTCGGACACGAATCTCTGGATACTCAGAGACTGGAGGGCACAGAGAGGGAGAGTTAGTTCGGTGAAGCTGCCCACGTTTGAGATTTGGGGTGAATGGTAAATCTAGGGTGTGTGGAAACCATCTACCTGTTCATAGTTCTTTTTCTGATACTGATCCTTAATTAGCTCCATTTGCCTCAGTTCTTGTTCTATTTGCTGAAAGCGGAAGTGGAGATAACATCGAGAAGTGAGAAGGGAACTTCGCTGGCTCTTTTTGCCCGCAGGGCGGCAGGCAGAATCCCATGGGAGACCCAGAGTTCCAGATGCCATACGACTCTACTCAGCCTCCCTTCCCTCTGGGCCCTTAAAGAGCAAAGTCCAGTACAATCGATGCAGGGGGAGAGAGGGGGAGCCAGACGGTGACGCTGGCCACGATACCCAACATTTACCCATCCCTGTCTGGTGCTGGAAGTTCCCCCACAGGCGATCTGCCCACTTCCCATTCCTGGAGCCATGTGCTGCTCTTGGTGCACTAAGGCCCACTGTCCCCAGACACCGCAACCGCCTGCGTTCTCATTGGAGCCCAGGGAGGCGGGGAGGGGAAAGCCGTAGCTTCTTTGGGATTCGAATACAACCTTCATCCTCTCTACGTTCTGAGCATTGTTCGCCTTGGCTGACAAGTGCAGCTTAATCTGGGCCTTTTGGTTCTTGATTTTTTCCTTGTTGCTGTTGAGGGTTTTCTCCAGCTCCGTTAGTTTCTGCCGCAGCTCCCGGTTGGTGCGGGACACTTCCACTGACCTGAAGTTGGCTTCGTCCAGGGCTTTCTTCAGCTGCGGAGCACAAGGGAACAACTGGGTCACTTGCACCTTCCTGTCAGGGAGAGACACTTACTCTCAGTCGGTCTCTGTGCGTTCAGTTCACTGGGCCTCTCTTCAAAGGCCGGGACAGCAGTCATCATAACGCCCGTTTAAGGAGACTTAAGGCCCTCACAGCTCAAGCAAGAACAGTCTTTAGAGTAGATTAAGAAATGTAAATGTATACTCATCGTTTGTTCTTTGAAGGGAATGGCTTGGAGTCAGAGAAACCTAAAATCAAAGCTCAAGTTCACCACTTATTAACAGAGTGATTTGGGGCATTTTATGGCCACAAGCCTAAGTGTTTCATCTGAAAAGTGCGTATTTGCCCACCTTGTAAAATGAGACCCACGGTTACATAACATCTCACTGCCAGCAAGTCGGTTCATACTCAAGCACCCTAGAGGATAGGGCAGAACTGCCCTTGTAGTTGCAGACACTGCAACTTTACAGGAGTACAAAGCCTTCTTTCTCCAGAGGAGCAGCTGGTGTTTTCGAACTGCTGACCTTGCAGATGACAGCCCAATGCATAACCACTATGCCACCACGGCTCCTAAATAAGACAGCATATACAGTAAGTGAAGAGTCTGGCTCACAAAACTGCTCAGTAATTATCACTCTATAAGCTTTTCTCTTCCTGTCACTTGTAACTTACTCTCTGGAGAATTGAAAATAAAGTATATGGTAGTTTATATAAATACTAGTTAATTACTGACTACCAGAGCATGTGTTTTAAAAATATTGCCTCTTATTTTTAAGGATTTTAATAAACTTCTCAAGTGGAAAAATAACATGGTGACTGCTTAAAAATTTCAGTCACCGTCATCCCCAAGGGCTCTTCAATCAATGCCACAGATATTTACTGAGGAAAAGGCAGCTGAGAAGGGGCAGGCCAGTCTTATTTCGGATGACTCCATTCTGACCCAGAAAAGGGATGCTAAACATCAGAAGAACCGAACCCACTGTCATCCAGGAAATTCCAGCTTAGAGTGACCCTACCTACACAGGGTGACTGAGATTGTACGGAGATACAGGAGCAGGCAGCGTCATTTGTGTTCTGCAGTGCGGCTGGTGGATCTGAACTGCTGGCATTGCCACTGGCAGGCCAATGCTTACCTGACAGCACCACCGGGGCTCCAGAAGGACAGGGAGATGCAGTCCCTATGTTTAACATCGCCAAGAATGGAGTTGAGCCTAATTGTGACTTTTCCCTCTGTGCTCGTTCCTTCCTTCCTTTAAATCCTAAATTCCCACTACAGTTTTAGTCCTTTACCACCGCCTAACGACCTTCCTGTGCGTCATCTCACTGCTGCCCTCCCACCACAGCTCTGTCTAAACCTAGGCAACTCCGAGCAACTCTCCTGTGCTGTGTTCTTGTGTCCCACGTGCTGGGAAAGAGACGCTACATCGATTTTCCGACTGCGTCCTCAAAGACAACGTGGGGAGGATGTCCGCCTGTGATTGCGCACTCTGACACTCAGCAGTACAGTCGATTACACATCTCGTATACGAGGGGCTTCAAAGGCTCCTGAAAAACATGCCAATATCTCCTACCATTTTTCCATGAGCTCGCTGAAGCCCTGATGCTCATGTGAGCTAGTCTGTGGCAAGGACCCCTGGTGGTGCAGGGAGAGATGAGGCTGCCTGCCCCATGAAGCCTATAGCCTCGAAAGCACTACGGAGCTGTCCGAGTCTGCCTGATAGGTCAGAATCCACACGGCAGCAGGTTTGTTTGTTTGTTAGTTTTTTGGGGGGGGGTGGCGGTGGCGGTTAATAAGTGGCAAAGGGCATCCTTAGGGTAGAAAATGGAAATGGTTAACACTGGAAACCTGGCTGCTAACCAAAAGGCTGGTGGTTTGAGCGTGCCCAGGGGAATCTCAGAAGAAGGCCTAGTGATGACCTGGGCAACCCGCCATGGCCCACAACGCTACTCTGATACAAGGAGGGTCACCACGAGTCAGAACTGGCTCGACACCAAGTGACTTTCGGACTCCAGGGCGGAACTGGGACTCAGATCCCAGTCTGTTGGGTGCATGGTGCCTCCCTACAGCTACCTAACTCGCCCACTGATGTCTCCCTCACCATCCCCGTCCTCCTCGCAAGCTTACCATTGTCACTGAGCTTTGTTAAAGAAAATATTCTGAATTACTTGGGCTGAAGAAACGTCTCCATATTTCAGCACAACTTCTTGTTTCGCCACGTTGATATCTCAAATTTACATAGTGCTTTCCAAGGGACCACACTGGTCAAGGCGCGAGCCCATGACTGCGATGAAAGAAGCGGTTTCTCGGTCTGTTGCTAACTGTACCAAATGGGGCGGACCACAGCCTGGCCCGGCCACCTTGCAGAGTCACATGTAGCCTCTGGTGGCTTCTTTCGACTGAGAAGGCTTTAATCATCTACTACTCAGTGCTCGGTGAGTTTTTCTGAGTCGCCATGCCTCCCGTTTCTCTTCGTTCGTTCCTACCTTCTTAAATTGCTGGCAGATGAACCTTCCTAAAGTCACCCCTCTGCTCAGAAATCTTCAGGCTTAAATAACTACAGGGTCTTCTGGTAGTCCAGTCTCCCAGTTGATCCCAGCTAACTAAACCCCACTCCTCTGACATTTCCCCAAGTGTCTGAGCCAGTGAACGAGCCCCTTTTGCGTTTGTTCACAAACAATGTTCATTTGTGCAACTCAGCCCTGTTCATCCTCTTATACGGGTGTCCAGTCCTGCCCTCTCTGTCAGTCTTAATCCCGTCCTTTCATTAAGCTACCCCTCTTCCACCACCCATGAACTTTCCTGTACACGAAACCAAACTCACTCACTCACAGTGACCCTATCCAACAAGGGAGGATTGCCCCTCTTTCTGAGGCTGTAACTCTCTACAGGAGTAGAAAGCCCGTACTTCTCCTGCGGAGCAGTTGGTGGTTTAGAACCATTGACCTTAAGGTTGGCAGCTCAATGGGTAACTGCTACGCCACCGGGGCTCCTGCCTCTGAGGGCCCTTCACAGTGGCAGGCAGCCTCTAACAAGCCAAGCACACTCGTCTTCTGTGTGCCCCTGACTTCTCACATGCTCAGAGCAGAGGCCACCATCAAGCAAGGTCTCATTTGGCACACTCCGCAGTGTGGAGGGGCCTCTCGGTGGCGCTGGATGGGTCACAGGGCTAGACAAGTGGACTGAGGAGAGAGAAGGTCTGCTCTCCCCCTACCCGACGGCAGTCTGTTTATGCCTCTACTCTACTCACACGTGGCTGAGTGGATGGCTACGCTCGCATCGTAAACAGAGACCCAGTTTCCTGTGTGCTGCATGGGGCTGGACTTGCTGGTCAAAGGCGGGTTGGACGGGTCAGAGGAGGACTGCTCTCCAGGTCCCGTGGGTCCCAGAGGCTCACTGCAAGGGACGGCCACGTCCCTGACGCCATACCTCCGTGGTTTCCCGGTGCGCCGCTTTCTTTGCCGTGTCTCTCTCGGTTTGAAACTGTTTTTTCAGAGCTTCTATGCGCTCGGCGTGGACTTCAGCCTCCATTTTGGACTCCTCCACTATCCGTTCCCTGTGGTGAAGAAGGCAGATGAGAGGTTGCCTTTAGACAGCATCTTAACGATTGTGTGTGTGGGGTCACCTAACTCTCCAAAGGTGTGGCATTTACATGTGAAAGTAGCTCACTCACAAGGAGCCTCTCTGATTGGAAACTCAGTCACAGAAGGCAGCCTCCCCCCACACACACAAAGTGCCCCTATTGGAACGTGTGTTACTGCAGACGTACTTAGATTAAACTGGACCGCCCTATCATTTGCTCTCCCTCTGACCTCTTCTAGTCGCGAACAGCTTACTTTCTTTTCGGTGGAGCTTGTTCTCTGTTGCCTGGGCTGTTGTTGCTAGCCCCCCGGAAGTCTAGCCCACGCCAAGGCTTTCCCTGCCGCCTTTGTAGAGGAAGGCCCATCCTCTTTTCAGAGCTGGTGCTACCTTTCTAAAAGTCTAATCATTCTGCCTCAACCTCAACATGCCTAAAACATAACCTCCCGACCCTGCTTTTTCTTCTTGGGTGTGTGCACTGAGAAGTGCAATTCTACAGATTATTTCAAGAGGGCCGTCGATTGCAGGTAAAGACGCAACATTCAGCTTTAATGGAAATATAAATGACTTTAAGCAGAGGGCTAAATGCAAATTCTCAATCTCCAAGCAAATGTTAACAGGAGTGTTTTGACTCTCACCTCTTCCTTTTCCCCAGAATTTGGGGGCAGTCATGGGAGAGACTTCATCCAATGGCCACTTAACTCTCACTACCCTGGAGCCAATGCTGACTCACAGCGACCCTATAGGACAGACACAGTGGAAGTGGCCCTGAGGGTTTCTGAGACTGTCACTCTTTATGGGAGTAGAAAGCCCAGTCTTTC